CTATCATGACAGTGGCATCAGTCGCGGAATCTAGAAGCGCACCTACTAGATGGAACACCGCAACCGAACAGGCGACGTCCAAATAAAATTGTTTGATTTCAATATTAAAATATATCTATGGTATGGGGCCTAGATGCTCAATAATGGAATATATTATTAGAAATAATTTGGTGCAATGATGTAATACAATGCTATAATATAAGAAAAAAATAATATGTGACACTGAACGTAGATGGTAATGCACGAGCGTTCTAATTTGTTTTCAGACTGCGTTAATATCACTTGCCTGGTGTTTACTATCAACAATCATTTTTTAGTGATTTTGAATCCGTGAAATGCCTATATGGTGTGATTTGTACAAACCTACTGAGAGTTCAATTTGTATGTTGCTATATAACAATACTAGCGCCCTCATACCGACCGATTGCAGCTATACGTACATTTGAACATTCGTTTGATGATTTTGGAAATTGAACATATTTGAAATGGTTGATCTAAAAATCACAATTTATGCCGATTATTGTAAAACATAAAGTCGAACTCGTACGCAAATCAAACAGTTGACCGAGTGGTGGGTTCAATGCAGTAACTCCAATAAGATCAGTCAAAATGTAACACAACTTACGGATGTATATACACCGTCATATTCAGCTCCTTTTAGTTTGAAAATACCGTTCGACGATTCTTCATGGAGATCAATACCACTGTATAATCCAGGTTTATATGTTCCTAAAAAGGAAGAAACATTTGATATATTTTCAATATTCACAAAACAACGACAAAACTCGAAACCGAATTTGATAATTAAAATTAGAAATAAGTACCATGTTCGGAGCTGCTGTGATTATAATAATAGTGGCATCCTCCATATATCCCAAAAAACTTATCAAAACCTCTTGACGTTGGTAAGTAGTCCTTGTTACAGAAACCCAAGTGCCATCTGAAATGGACATAATTTGTATGTATATAATAAAAGTAATCCAACAATTCCATTTCGGCCGAGAATTTGTCTTTATTGGCAAAGTATAGGAAGGTCAGGCGGCTGAGGATGAATTCCATTTTATTCTATTTTGTCCATTGTATGTGCATTGTAGAGATGACTGGATTCCTCACCGTTTCAGAGTCTATCCATCCAAAAATGTGTTGCTCTATTAAAATCACTAAACCCGGAAACACAATATAAACTTTCAGTGTATGTGCATAATTCTTTCAAAATCCGTGACAACTTTCTGTTAATTTTGAACTAACAGTAATGTATTTGTTTAATTTTGTATTATAGTCATTGATGTGATGGGCGGAGGCCCTGGCATTTGAATAAATTATTATTATTATTATTACAAATTTTAATTGTAGTACATTGTTGTCATTGCTACATACACAAGAAGCTGGATTGTATTCAATATGCTATCTTAGTAAAACAATTATTTATTCGGTAATGGCTTTTTATAATAGTATTGCATACTTTCCTACAGCATAAGAGATATATCCAGTTTCTTTAAGCTTCTCTGGTAATGTAGTAAGACCAAGAGGCAGACCATGTGGACGATTGGGGTCGATTACTTTATGCTACAAGAAACAACTGATAGTTAAACCGGAATATGACAACGAACAATTTGAAAACATTACTGTGTTTAAAAAGTCAGTTAATATAATTTCACGTTCAGTTTATTATTAAACCACTTATCAATTTTACGAAAAAAAAACACTATCCGACGTTTGTAAGCGTTTGTTTATTTTTTTTATTTATTAGGCAATATCTAAGCAGGATAATCCAATTATTTTTTTCTCGAAAAGGAGTTCTATTATTGTCAATGTCATATACATGAAAAAATAAGCACTGAAAACACAATAAAATATTAATGTACAATAGTTTGTTTTGCAATCCTAATTTATTGAATAGATTTGTTATCCCAGTTTTAACGACATTAATATCCTGTGACGATTCAAACAAGCAAATTGTATTCACAAAGATGCCTTTATAGAAAAAAGGGCGTGTTTGCTCTTTCCGACACGGAAAGGGAATATCAAATTATTAGCAACAGATTTCGTAAACAAGAATGTTTCTTACAAACAGGTTTATGAAATGTTGATGTCAAACACAAAGGTGCTATGGCTAAGCATGTACTAAATAAACATCGTTACTGCTGACTGTATTTTCCGTTGGTAGTGTATTGGAACCTAGTTTAGGGTGGGGGGAAGAACTATAATATGCAATTTGCATCTCACTGCCACATGCTATCCACACCCCTGCACATTATGTGACCAGTGGAATATCCAGCGCCTTAAAGATTAGTTAATATTTTTTTCGACACATCTATGAATTCTCCAAATGGCCCCGAAAGTCGTCTGGAATAGGATTTCTATGATCATCACAATTTAAGTATTGCCTCCCCCTAAAAAAACAGCACGCAAGTATTTCAAATTGTCAACAACATCAATGTTTGACTATTAAAACTAGACTGGCCCAGTCGCTGCAATTTTATGATTCTTTCTTAAATATCTTGGTCCGATACGACATTATCACGTCAACATGGGCGATTCTACAAGCTCGTTCTTTGAGGAATCATCATATAGATAAAACTGCTACGACTGGACCAGTCTATATTAAAACGTTCAGCTCGTGATCGTTCATTTTTATTCACATTTAAAATGTTATGGCAATGTGTTGGTTGCTTCTTAATGTGTTTGTATTTATTTGCTTGTATATAAACTTTGGGTGGATTTAGATACGACATAAAACGACAGCTGTGCTCATAAATAAAAATAAAGTTGATGTTTACCTGAGATCCAATATTAGAAGGATAATATCCCGTCATCAGTGAAGATCGAGTCCTTGAAAAAACAACAGTTTGAGTTGATATCTGACAGAATATTCACTCTGTCTTGTGAAGAGCCCGAAACTCTGTTTAGAAGATGGAAGTAGAATTTGTCTGTGTGAATGATGTTTGTTTATTTAAATGTTTAATCTGGAAATATAAAATACTTTCGCATTTGTCGAATCCCACGCGATGTTTGACGCCATTATGATGCTATAGTACGTGACATGTGAGCTACCAGTAAGTTAGTATTCTGGGTTGTTTTCTCTATTTTTTGCTGAACTGTAGGCGGTCTTTACGGACTACAGAATATTCACTGATCAGAATTGGCAACCATTTTTGTTTATAAATATTTTGAGGAAAAAAACCCAAAAAATCAACTTTAATTAATCAGATGTATTTAGATGTACACGATATCGTGAATGTTTTTGTGTTGTAATGTTTCCCTGCTTGCTTGCTTTTCTGAATGCCATAGTGCTGGTTGTATACGTGGCTGCTTAAAGCGGGGGATTCGTTACCTACGCATGCGTCTACCCATGAGCCTTTGCGTTCTTAGCGTGTGTTGTTATCATCGCTTGGGACTCAATTCCCGCGCGTGCGCAAGTGTCGATCCTCCCGCTTTAACACGATATGCGAGTAATATGACGCCTACGTCACCGCAATATGGATACAATAACATTGTTATAGAGCATCAGCTTTGTAACCACTTATGTAGATTTACTTACGGACTACACAGAGATTGAACATAAAAATTCTCAAGAATAACACTTTCATCTGCAATGTTCTGGAGGTTCGGGGTGATCATGGATGAATCATGCCACGATATGTCATTCCATCCTAAGAGTGCATAGAACAGTGTGGTGAGTAATTATATAATTTCAAAACATGAAATCGACAGACGCATTTCATCAAATGTTATATTACATTTTTGATGTAATGAATATTAATATACATCTGACAACATAATTTACCCGTCCGTAAAATGCCGCGCTGGCGTATTTAAAAGTGTTACGGACGCGTTCTAAAGGCCCGGTCACACCGCCCAAACTTTGTTGGAGTATTCCTGGAGCGGTGAAAAAATGTCATCACCGCTCGTTACCGTTCACCGCCGTTTAACAGAAGTTAGCCCCGTTAAGGCAACGCCGTATACGCTCGGCTACCGCTGATGGACCCTCCTTCCGCTCCGAAAGTTTTGAGCTGCACACAATATTCCTATTTTCCGCACCGGCAAAGTTCACCACCGCTCTAACAACGCCCAGTCAAGTTTGGCACTGCTAGACGCAAGTTCGTGGACGCTTGGGTCCGCTAGGTCTTGAACGCTGAACCACCGCTTCTTCGCCAGCTTCGCCCGGGCGGTATGCCGCTAAACCAACTTTAAAACCCCGCCGAACCAACGCACGCATGCGCGGAACGCCGCTCTATCAACGCTCGCGTCACCGCTAAACCAACGCTCGCTACCGTTAAATCAACGCTAAAGCAACGCCGGCTTCACCGGCGCACCTCTAAGGCAACGCCCGTGTTTTCGATTGTTTCCCCATTTTGTGTGCGGTGACGAGCGCTGTCTAAATTCCGCCCCTCTCCCTACCGTTGAAGCCGGCGTTTCTTTAGCGTTGGTTTAAAGCGCGGTGGTCGTCGCGCAGCGCGTGTTCGAAATTCATGCTATGAGTCCCATATCGAACAGGACACGGCGCGACGACTGCCGCCCTTTAATCATGAACGGAAATGGTTTACGGTTGGTATTGCCGCTAGTTCATTGAAATATACTAAAATTTTGACATGCGCCTCGCACATGTACTATAGCGAATGTGATTATCTCCCGTCAAGTATGCTAACCCCCCCCCCCCCGCAGAGTGGTCTTCTACCAAATACCACAAGCAGAAAATAGAGGTATAATAATAACGTTATCACGAGAATATACAGGCAGTATAGTAACGCGTCGTGCGATTCGATAACTGCACAGCTTTCATGCATAAATAACCTGGTAAGAACGTATTATATTTTAATGTTTCTCACCTAAATCATCGGCCACGATGTAAATGATATGTGGTGGATTCTCTGCAACAAACGTTATTTGAAAGTGAAATTTTGTGTTTGAATAAATAGTGGGTTCATGGAACTGATACTATGGCGTGTGCTGCAAAAAATGTAATATCACGAATGAAGTCATTACCCATATGCTCTATTTTAGGATATAACATTCATTTTTAAGGTAATGTTTCGTGCATATAGTACATGTACGTGAGACAAATGCAAACAAAATGGCGTGCTGAAGGCACACATTACAGTCAGCCTATGATGGAACAATGTTTATATTACCTGTAGCAGCCAGCAATGATACTCCAATAATCAATAATAACTCAATATGAATGTTGCAATACGACATCGCAAAATCTACTTCAATTATGAGTTCCGTGAAGTCATATATATATATAATGTATGTCGTATTTAATGTAACTAAAAATACATTTGGATATAATGCGATTTCATCAAAATGAATATTAAATGCGGATATGCCGCATGATCGTTCAGGAAACAACGTAGAGGCGGCGGCACGAACTTTGTATGGAGGGGCGAGATTTGCACACCATCCCTCGCGCCGAGGACGCGACGTTTCTAGGGGGTCCGGGGCATGCTCCCCCTTAACAATTTTGAAATCTAGACCCTATGAAACGCCCCTCCCAACATGTTCTCGAAGGGACGATTGCCCCCCTCCCCTCTGTACCCCCGTGACGCCGCCTCTGCAACGGGATAGTGTACTTCGACCGGAAACCGGGGTATTTGAAACCGAAACTGTCATCTAACTGTAAGGCCGTCGCTAATTGGCTGCTGAGCTGGAATGACAATTTTTGGTTTCAAATGCCCCAGAAAAGTGTTCTACCTTCTTCGTGTAATTAGGTGTTCGTATTTAAGGGATTTTTCCACTCAAAAACGACGAATTCGGCCGAATTTTGTTATCAGTTGGCTTAATATTACCCCCAACGGATCGAATTTTTTCTTGATTTTTAGGACTCTGAAAAACGCGTTTCACAACTTGTCTCTTATTTAGTTTTATGCTGCATTCAAGATGGTGGCCCCTATATAGTAAATATCGCATATATGTTATTATCACGGGTGCGCTAGCTGACTGTGGCTTAGATGGCGCTCTTCTGAACATACTATGTAAATTACATCATGAGCACTCCTCGTGCTACAAAGGGTCACATGGGTCACTGTGTTCTGTACGGCGAGCAGTACACGCACAGTGTATTGGTGGATTATAATTATATGCAGTCAGTTGACATCAGTTTCAATATTTAAATATGGAATGCTGTGGTGATTGATAATCCAATGTGACATATAATTATCATAGTAATATTCGATTGTTTGTAGTTTAATAGAATAAATCACGATGTTATATGTTTACGTCAGCGACATTTCACACTGGCGCCTATCACCGGCAGGACTGCGACATCCACATTTAATATGTGTGAGAATTTCCAATATTGTTGCAATCTCGCTGAAGAATTACGTCACTGCAGCTGGGGAATCTATACTAGTTAGTACAACAGTGCACAGCATTTGCTTGATTGTTTCCCGTAGTTGTGCCGAATATACGACTGAGAGCATATTAAAATTATTCTGATTTGACCAGTCAGTAATGTATTATGTACGTCTAGTTTGGTTTATTATTGTGTATTCTCAGGTGTGTAGTTTCGATGATGACATCATAGATACCCTCATATACGTGTGCAGTGGGGTTAACTGTATAGTATAGTTTATTTAATATGTATTTCTCACACACCCACACATGTAACTTCCTCTTTGTTCATAGCTGAATTTCAAATCTCTTTAGAAAGGTAACTAAGACAATAATCGATAAATGTCTTGTGGAGCAAGCATACATTACTGACCTTACCTTTTATGAGTGATATATTTCTTATTGGAATTTAATTTTCATAACACATTACATAATATTATGAGGTATCGAGTAAAAACTTGGTCACGTGTCCATTTTCGAATAAAATACAAATGTTATATGGCTCAATCACGCTTCTTGTGCGTTTGGAATGTTGTTATATCGTCATCTATTGTACCAATAGTGTTTATGATTCCCACATTGTCAAATACATCCATATCTATCTGATGCATTTTGTCACTTTTTCCAGCCTCTTTGTCTTTAGCCCATTCACATTCTTTAACTTTCAAAGTTAGCAGAACAGCAATTCCACCAATGACGTAAATCAATGCTGATAACAAAAAAATCTTCTGCCATTGTTCACGCGTATTCTAGCAAGTAAAAACACCAGTACAAACAATGTAAAAAAATAGAAAGTGTATATTATAAACTGAATCCTCCATTGTTCGTGTGTTACAGTCAAAATACTATTTGGTGTGAAATAATATATCGATTATATGTCATAATTTACTGGCAAATGTACACTACATGTTAGCATCTACTGCAACAGCATCATTTACCCAATTTAAAACTGGTTTCAACTAAGGTGTCTTATGTTTCCATGACCAGTTAGTACAGTTGTGTGGCAAGCAAGCTGATTTTGTCACATATTACGTTTCGGTTTAGGGAAATCGTGTTTCTTGATAACTTTTTAACTTATAACAACGAACCCGTAAAACAGCATATGCAGGAAAACTTCTTACCTCCTCCTCGGTTGCCACACCAACAACAAGAGGTGCCAATGCTCCGGAAATACTACCAGCTGTGTTTGTAATGCCGAATAAAACACCACCAAATTTGGGTGCAATCTCTACATGGTTGACTTTAAAAGCAGGTGTACAACATCCACTGAAAGCAGCAGAGATGGTGATAAACAAGACTGCTAGTCCACGGTTACATCCGATTTGCCCTGCTAGTACCAAGAAAACAGCCGGCAAGAACATACCTGTAATTACACGATGAATCAGTTTTAGTGTTATTACTAATAACGGCGGATGTCGATGCGACGGTATACTGTCTGAGTGCATATTTTGAGGTATTCTCCACAGTCACTTGGGGGCTGGAAATGAATAAATACTATTTTTTTTAAAAAGTCATCCGCTATACGCATATAAATGAAGTTATGAAACATGGCACCTATTGAAATAGACATCATTCGCACAAAATTCTGGGTAAATCAAGTGCGCAGACTCATTTTCAGCCAATCAGTCGTGGCGTAACAGCGAGTATTTCCTTGATTTAAGTCTGCGCACTTGATTTACCCAGAATTGTATGTGAATCCCCTTTGATTCTGGTTGCTGGCCATTTTCGTTCATGAAATCGTCGGATATCACCAGAAGACGCGGGATTTGTGCAGTTTTGTATAAAACCAAGTTAGCCATTAATAACAATGGTTATTAACGTAACACCCGATCCCCTCTGAACTTTTTGTTTCGTATTTTAATGTAAGAAATCGACATGGTGTCTATTTCACTAGGTATCATGTTTTATAACTTGTTCATTTATATGCGTATAGCAGATGACTTTTTAAGAAAAAATAGAATTTATTCACTTTCAGCTCCCAAGTGACTGTGGTATCTTTGTAATAACCTTATTTTCATACATCTTTTCCTTCCAAGGATACATCATGGGAATGCCGAAATCCAAAATATTTAGAACAGAATCAGCGAACTTCCTTGTGTGAGTTCAGTCAAACCCTGGTGGCAGCCATGTTTGTTTTTATTATTAGAGGACTCATACGCGCGTATTCATTCCATATTTGGAATTCGCATTTTCTTATATGGTAGGATGAAAACACCCCGTAAAATACCGCAAAATTATGGCAAGCTGTAACTTATGGCGTTACTGTGACAGATGTATAATAATATCAAGTATTGGCATGCTAGTATTTACAGTTGTATCGTTTTGTGCATTTTCGTATACCGAGAATTCGGGATACGTTACACCTACATTGCTCCAAATTGTATGAATAATCCTCCTGAGTGTTCACCAAAAGAAATAATGATAACTTTGAAATAGACACACCTAGAGCACATGATGGTGATGGTATAGTGTTTGCATGCAAATACACGTTGCGCGACATTGGTCTCAACTGTCTCATAATTTAGTCTACGTTTGAGTCGTATGTAATAAATATATAACCCCTAGTATTTCTTAATTGTGGATAACTTGTGATAAACAAGTCAGAAATTACGTTACACAGTTTGGAATACATATGCCAAGAAAACTTATATTATAACTACTTATATCATGATTGACTATATTCAAATTCGTCCATGCTCAATTTCACCACTACTCGTGTAACGATGTTTCACGGATTATATCTTATGACGTAATGTCATTCCATAAGACATACATATGAATGAAAATGACATTTGCTGGCATTATGGACTATCGCAAAATATGTCATTACCCAGACACGTCAGTACTCTCCTAACTTGCAATGTTGACATAATGTATTTCTGTCTGGTATAGTCCGCTAACCATCCGTAAAATATTGTAAACGTCCATATACCAAGAGATGATAACGAAGACATGATTCCGTTCTGTTTGTGAAAGAAGAAATAACATATTCCAAGCATGATAAGATAAGCGAATAATATCATAAATGTATGCACAGAAACAAGATTACAATGATATAGTTCCTTCACGCATAGAACACAGAGTAAACAGCCGTTACAAGAACGACGATAATGCATAATCTCGGCAAACTGAGCCAAAACTTACCGCTCCCAGATTAAAGCCAAGTATTTGGTCCATGTATTGCGGAAGACTCGTCAGTAGAGTGTAGTTACCCCAGCTGCTGCAAAAGTGACCGATCAAAAGACCCCATACCTGTGGTGATTTAACTATGGCTAACCATGGAACACGCCACCCCTGGACGGAAATAAATATGAAGTTGGTTCTTAATGTATCGAGTACTTTTTATTGTAACTTAATAATACTAAAATCGTTCAGCATATATGCACCGTACTTTCTTTATAAAATTGTATTTTTACATCTTATCCAACTACACTTTCGAGTGAATCGCAGGTATTATGTCTACAGTAATTGAGCTATCCAAGCTAAACATGTATGTCGAAGATCTGTTTCGATCATGCACGCACGCACGCGTGTATTATTATAACTGTATTTGTTATAGTTCGGACTTACGAAACCTAAAAAATACAATGTTATTGATAGTTGTAAAATCAACTACTTTGAAATTCATTTCGTATTTAGTGTTTTACCGATTTGTGCACGTTGGTACTAATTGAGTTTACGATGTAACTTCTTTCTTCCTCGAAGATTCTCGGATGAGAATCTGGATTATCCCATATCAAAAGAAACCAAAACACACACCAGAGTAGCGCACATAAACCTAAAGAGGAACATATAACGCAATCACTTAAATCAATATTACAAATTGTATTGAACATTGTTTTTAAGGTATAGATGCAGTTTAATGATGATGACCATGGCGAAAGGAGATTCTATTGTGTCACATCATCTTAGACAGTTTTCAAAAAGCGTTGATAATGCAATGTCTCGTGGTATCGATTAACGCTTGACGTTCTTTCTATATTTGGTACACTAGAGTTTGTGCTCATACATTCACTCATTTCTACTTTACTCGCTGCACAAACAATGAGGATAATTATATTCTAACCTACCAAATACGTAAAAACAAGATTCCCATCCCAGTGTAACAGACAGCACACCCGACAATGACATAGCAATGATGCTTCCCCAGTTTGTGCCTGGAAAACAAAAACAAAAACGTATGAATGTAATAGAATACTTTAATAATGCATATTGTAAATAACTTTATTTTCATAAAAGCCGAGAAGAAAAACTCCACGTGACATAACGTGTTAAGTCAATCAAAATATGCCCGATCACGTACAAATTTACCCGTATAGAATTTCTATAGACACTTTGTATTATAATAGTAAAATTGTCGGCCCCTGCAATGCAGTCATTTACAAGTAATGCGTCAAATTGCTACGAATTCTATATTGAATTGACGAAATCAAAGATGGCCGCAATTAGATTACATTCAATTATGTGACATTTACATGCTACATCACATAAAACATTATTAAACCTGGCTAAACACATCTCAAAAATAAGAATAACTTAATCCGACCTTGGTCCCACTTATCACATCTCAAAAAATAAGAATAACTTAATCTGACCTTGATCCCACTTATCACATCTCAAAAAATAAGAATAACTTAATCTGACCTTGATCCCACTTACCATAATCAAAACAAGAGACACACAAACTAGAACTTAATTAATTTTCTTTTTTATAGTATTTTTTTCACAAACGATATAGTTATTCAAACAGAATATTGACGTAAATACATTCAATACTGTTGGCTGGGGCGTTTTTTTTAATATAACTGATCAAAAGAATCTATTTAATCCAAGTCGATGTATCCTTGTTAAAATAATTAGAACAATTTTGTAAAACAAACATAAACGATTATGGTGTATTGGAAAAAAAAGTTGTAACACCATATTTGGCTGTACAATTATGATGAACCGAAGAATTGGAAACAATTTTAGTGTGTTTATAATACTAAACATCACTCGACGTGAACACAACATTTATTGTAGTAAAATGTGAAATTAGTACCAACGTTTTTTGGCATATCATATACATTCCAGTACTACCTACCAGAACTGCTGAACGATATCAGCCTACTTCTCTCCAGAGGCGGGGCCCATTTGCCCCACATTCCATGTTGAGCTGGGAATACCGCACCCTATAATATTGTTACATGTTTGCAAGATTATTACCGATCTTCCAATTACTGTATGACGACTGGGCAACTTGGAATATGTGCGAAAATAATTGGGGTGGTAGGGTGGAAACCATTGCCTATAAGTACAAACCTAAACTACCGTTTTTCAGTGACACAATTATCATTCAATCACCCTTACCTGGCAAAATCCCAAAAGAAATCTGCAAGTGAAAATGGCTCCAAAACCAAGCCACGCTGCGGACGGTGTGAGCATTGTAAATATGGCACACAGTAAAATGCTGCCACCATATACACGCGTTCCTCCGAATTTTCTTTCAAGCCATCCTCCCGGAATCTGTGTAATCGTGTAACCATAGTAGAACGCACCAAGAAGAAGTCCTTGTTGATAACTACTCCAGTTGAAATCCCCCGTCTAGTAATATATATAGTTTAGTTTGTAGTTGATGTTCTAAAAACATTGTTTTATGACAGAAATGGCGTTAAATTGTGAACTACTAAACAATGCAATGTGATGTATTATTTTACCTTACATTAATTATATGATGTACGTGCTACAAAAATGCGTGTTATGCCACTTCAATGATTGATTGGATGGATGGATGGATGGATGGATGGATGTATGGATGGATGTGTGGATGGATGGATGGATGGATGGATGATGAATGAATGAATGAATGAATGAATGAATGAATGAATGAATGAATGAATGAATGAATGAAGTAAAAAATAACAACATAACAATGAAAACGATATGCAAATTCATATTTTAAAAGAATTTACAAAAACACAAGACTAATTACTGAAAACAATGCTTCGAACACCTACAGAGATAACACAACAGACAAGTATACCAAATCAGCAAATGAATAATGGGGCTAAGGGAATGTGTTCTTACCTCCTCTTCTTCAGTGTCAGTTGCATTTATACCACATTCGTCTGCACTGGCCTGTGCATCGCTGTCCTGTCCTGTACTATTCACCATGGCAACGATGGCAACACTGAGATTATTTCGCATCGTGTATGCATTCAGCATTCCAAAGAATAACCAGATTGCTAGCACGTGACGGGCTGCTATCAGGTCTGAAAACTTGTATTGATGAATAAAAAAAGACAACGTTATAATGTTTGTTTTATGTATCGTTATTGCATGTAGATATGTGTACAACGTAATATATTCTACATATTTCTAATCAAACTTTGCAAAATTTATTTATTTAGTTGTGTTAATATGTATTTAATTGATAACGCATAAAACCCCTCGGGGGATTGAAACTGTTTATAATGAGATAACTCGAAACATTCTATAATACAAATATCATGCTCATTGGTCGATTGATATCATGTACATCTCGGTTTGTTATCAGGCAATATTCGGACAGTACTTGGTGTCAATTATAATGTTACGCCACAACAATACAAGTACACAGTTTTTTTTCTTTTTAGGAAAATTCGGTCATTTACATGTCATCTGAAATACAACACTGCCTATTACTGTGTGACATTCCGGCAAGGACGTGACTATATTGCAGATAGGAGGGCGTTGCGATTGGCGTCTGAGTGGTTCCTTTGGGAAATTGGATAGAAATCGTTTTAAATTTGCAGTAAAAATTATATATTGAAATAAAAAAACATGTTTCATCATTTTAAATATTATTATACACCTGTCACCGAAACGTCGTAAGTTACAACGTGCCGTAATTTTGCGGTATTGTATTGCGTATTTTCATCCTACCATATTAGGAAATACGAATTTCAAATATACAACGATTACGCACGTAAGCGTCCTCTAATAATAAAAACAAACATGGCAGTCCCCGAGGTTTGACCAGACCCCATACAAACAAGTTCGCTCAATCTGTTCTAAACTTTTTGTATTTCGGCATATCCATGATGTATTTATAGGAAGAAAAGATGTACAATAATAAGGTTATTACGAGGATACCGGTCGCAGACAGTACGCGGTCGCATCGACCTCCGCTGTGTGTCATATTATTTATGTACGTGTACTAGATCGGTACGTTATTATCTCTCCCATATCTGCATCTATCTATATATTTACAAAGGTCGAAGTTTCGACTATGTAAACATCAAAGGCCGTTCTAGATTTGGCCATTTTAGAAGATTATATCATCTGATGTCTTAATTTAGAAAAATACGGCATTCATTTATTCAGAAAGACTTACCTTGTTTCTTTTGAATAATCTTGGATTCATGTTGATATCCTCTATTGGGTTACTTGAATAATTTGCTAAATAGTTTGGCTGCTCAGACGCCCAGCTGACTCACCCCCGGCCAATCATATATTGCTCCTTCTGATCTAATATTCTGTTGATAAAACAAATGTCCTATTGTTATTATACACGACTAATGGTAAATGCGGCTGCCGATAAAGGCACTTGATTGCAATTGAGAGCAGGTAGAAACTATTAACTTATAATAAGCTATATACAATATAGATAATATATACAAACAACCTGTTTCGCTGTCGCAATTGACGCTCACAGTCCTTATTGTAATCTATAAGTTCAAAAGGCAGCTTGGCGGAATAATTCGTTCGATATTAGTGAATTGGCTCTACAATATAGTTCAGGTTACTCCTTTTATACATAAACGTTTATGGTGCGTATTTGTCAAAACAACAAACTAAGACAACTACATTCGTAATAATGTGTTGCGTCTTATGTGTTTAATCCATTAAAGTGGCATTCAGCCTTCGTAATGCTGTTAAAACACAATATATAGGGTCTATTGAGAGGTCTATTAAAGACACAACCAGGTGCCAGGGATTTTCTTAGTTATCTGAGAATTATAAAGTATGGGTAAAGTTTGGTTGGTTTACTTTTGAAAAAAAACACACTAATCTAGCAGTTTGAATATTCATCAATTTAGAGAAAAGAAGAAGAAGAGAAGAAAACACATTTTGAAAAAGTGTACGTTTTAAGAATGCGTGATGGAAGGAGACCAATACCGAGTTCGAGTCTCACTAGTAAAAACTTTTCTTTAAAATTAAAGAGAAAATTTCATTCTAACTTTCAGATGAAAGACATTTGTCGTCAAGAGTGGACACCATCAGAAATATGGTCCAGTAGTAAATAGTGGTAGTACTGAAGGTATTTCTATAATTCCCTCCGGGTGGTTCTAGAATTCATACTGAATGGTCTGACCTTTGTTGGCGGTTATTCGCTAAGATAATGCAATAGTGTGACGTCATGATCTTTGTTTAACTTGCGTGTTCTTTCTTGGTAGCGGATCCATAGAACAACCTTTCATCTACTCTTAGTTTTACCCGTCAGCATTCTGCTATCAAGGAAGAGATATTATTACTCGCATATTGCCAGATCTTTCCCATGTAATTCCACTGTGTTTGGTATGTGATCCAAAACATCGTAACACATCGCAAATGCGGTCCTGGGACAATTTCTTCCTGGGCAAACGACAAGGGATAATATAATCGCCAAACAATCGCCCGGATATTTGCCCGAACAACTCCCGCTGTAAATTATTTGCGTTCATGTTTTGTATTTATGAAAAATTATTTATAATTTCAGAATATGTTTCTGTACATATCGCAATATCGCTTATCAGTCCAGTACTATCAAATTGACAGCGGAGGCTTATTTATCGGATGTAGACTCTTGATATCTTACCCAATTTGCACGCTACATCATTGCATTTTGTCAGTCATTTGTTTCGTCTCAACGTCAACACTTTGAATTGATGGTATATGGTAAGATTTAGCCAGGCCAATAATTCCTGTGAAATATGTAAAACCTCTCCTAGTTACATGGCTCTATTTCCTATAATACGATATCGTGCCGATTTAGTGTAATACAGGTTGTTATGGTAGTTTATCACATCTCACTGTTGTTACGCATGATGAATAAATGACATGACATTGAATAAAAATGGGTATTACATGGTATTTTGCCTGCCAAGTGGATTTTACATGGTACATGTATATCACATGGATGACGTCACCGAAACTACTGCGCAACGATACTGCGCATAACAAATCTTACTAAATAATGAAAGATGACTTGTGTGTTTGGTAACCCATTCACACACAAACAACATTGGCAAAGTTTAAACTTTACAATCCGATAACGACGTCGGTTTTTACAAACAATACTACTATTACCAAATAATATAAGTGAATAAAACTCGCGTAATTATGTCACCAGTTGTATAATTTGAACAAACAAAACACATTTTAAATGGCAATTTCATACTGTACATGTAAGAGACACATGGAGTAGCATATTACCAGAATGTTTTATTTGTATTTTGAACGTCATGTCTGTATATTTAGTTTGTATTTGTTTGTCTTTGTGTATAGAGAAAATAACATACGTAACTGTCAATTTATTGTTTGAATGTAACCACATAAAGATGCCAAATGCATGGGCAAAGTGACCCTACATAAGGCTAATGCCACGTGAATTGCGATGGGAGATCCAGGGATCAAGTAGTCGCCATTCTGCGATGGGAAGAGACTGTCAGAGAGGTCCCGATAAAGTTGTCATCTTGTATCATATTCACTGAGGTAACAAAACTAGTAGGTGGCGCCCTCTGGAGATTCTAACGCAACACCCGCGGTCATATTTTTCCATTTGTAAGTGATTTAAGGTAGAGATGCAGTTTACCTGACAGGTATTGTAATTAGTTAATTAAGAAACCGAGATGACCTCCCTTGTCCACAAAACTATATTTTCGGAAAGCTTATTGTATGAATTTTGAAGTTTTGTTAGTATTTTTTTTATGGACACTGTCGTTTGAAATATGCACAAAAATGTGCTTTTTTGGTCAAAAGTGATTTTAAAAAAGATAGCTTCTAAATCATGCCTCTGTTTAATGTCAAAATTAGTTTACGTGTACACCTGCTCACTGTTCAGAAAGTGCCGTCTTGAAAACTGTCTACCAGTTGTCAATTCTGCAGGACAGCAGCTCAAATTTCACTACTTCAAGTTTATGCATACATTAACACCCACGCTATTTGACTGTACGATTGTTGTAACACTGTTTTTGAAGATAAACACATTGTCAATCATTTGTGATTATTTCAAAATAAAAGGTCGAAGCGTCTAGGAGCTATTTTTTTTTTAAGTTCTGGAATGTGCACTAAAAGGAAGCTGATAAAATTGCTAATTGACATAACCATTCACTCAGTAAGAAGTTTGCTAATGCTCATAGTTAAAATGGCTGTAACAAATTTAAATGTATTATCGTTTTGTAAAAAGTTTTTTTCATTTTATTTAGATAATTGAATTTCTTGACCATGGAAAATACGATGAAAACAATAGTCAATACATCCATAAGTTTTTGAGTTACAAATGAAAAAAGTTTTTTCCCGAAATTGTTGTTTGACAACCTCACCTGAAAATTTCATGAAAATCTGTATATGAAATGTTTAGCTTTGATTGAAAAAATAAATAAAAATGTTGTTTATATGGTAACCGTACCCATATCTCCACCGAAATTTAATGGTTTTCGTGCTTGTATCAAGGGCGACCCCTAAAAGTTCGTCTTAATATGCTGAAAAATAGTATACCTACAGTCTGGCCTGCCGCACAAAATATGGAACCTGCAAACAGCAAACGTGCAGTTCATACTGATCACGAGAGCTCAAGATTGAAATCAAGATTGTTGTGTTCGACAATTTTTTTTCTTAGACATTGACAGAGTAAAATTAAGACGATCGTCTCGGCAAGTTTGAGGTTTTTGAATTTGTATGACATGCCATTCCTTATTTGTCGGTGAATACGATTGACTAACGTTTACAAGTAGTTTATTTAATTTTTTCATGAAGTCCTTTACATTCTAAATAAAGCAAGTTTGTGTTCCACTACTATAACAACGGTCACACAAGGCTCATTGGGCCGCAAAATTCCCGGTATTTTTTTTATTGTTAGTGTTACACGACGAAAAGACATTTACAAGAAGAAAGAAAAACAAAGAAAGAACAAGAAAATAACAAGTACAGTTAGTCATGAATATATTATGTCATTGCGTAAATGTATTCTTATGGTCATGTATGTAATACCACTAACAAACATTGTTTCATTTGTTTTGTAATCTTTCCTTGGCTTTATTTTTGCCGGCTTTATTTTTGACTTTATTGTTGTTTACTTCTAAACAACTTATAAAGTTAAAGAAAAGCAAAGTCTTATTTTCAGAATGACAATTAAATATGATTTTTTTTCCAACCACTAACGCATAATTAAAAATTGCACTTCTATTCAAGTCACAGTGACCTGTGGGTAAATGGTGTTTTTACTCTCTGTATCAACAGAACAAGTGTGTAATTGATTTAAAATTCTTCCTTACTAAGAGTATACGCATCATATTCACGTTTTTAATTTAAACAATAATTTACAGCCAAATAATTGTGCAAAATACTGAATGAAAATAGTTTTGTTACTGTGTTCCGGATGATCCAGTGCAGCATAAGATAGCTATTTATCCAAATTTGTAAAATTCATATAGTAATTTGTTCTGTAATTTGAATCTTTTCTTCATATTTAGTTTCCATAGTGTTGATCTGGAAGTCTTTTGATTTATGGAAGTCAAGTAAACTGGTAACCAAACTAGTCCGCCTCATCCAATAGTAGGAAATCTGACTTGTTATCATTGAGGAAAAAGTTATCGTTCCACAATAGATTACATGAAATAGGACGCTTTTCTCTTACTTGCAATCTACTATACAATATTTCTTTACGGGAAATTGGGATTTGCCAATTTCTAAATTATAATTACTGCTCAACAGAAATTCAAGCCTCCCTATAATGTTTCTTAAACTCATCAAATATTGTTTAGCTCTACCTAGGGCTGAAACATTGTTTACTAATATTATTCTTGATGACGTAATCATAGGAGAGAAGTTCAGTACTCGTAGACTACTGATACTGTATTCATAGTATAGTGTGTTTCTATTCTATTTAGCTATTTTCCCGCCCCAAATAAATTTATTATTTATTTTATCATTTTTGTATATAATATTCTAGTGTTGGAATTAGTGAAGAAACAAAAATGAGAATAATTGAAATTGTATCATATAAGTCAAATGTTTCTGTCTCCATAAATTGAAACACATTTCTGCTTTTTTATTTATATGTTGAAAGTTACTTTTAGCAGCATCGTTCATATCGTAAGAAGAAAATATGCATAATATTTGATATATATTTTATGTGGTTTCGTTTTGCACATGCGCAATAAACCCCAAGCCACATACTTCCGTGTTGTCCATGTTTTAAACCAGAAAAACGACCAAATTTTTCCACGGTTTGCAGAATCAATATCAGCTACCAAAATATATATCAACCGCATATTAGGTTAGATTTAGTTGATTATTACAAATATTGATACAATTAATATGTTTTGTTTTGCCTGATTTAGACTGCCAGCAATTCTACTGCAGTAACAAAAGGATAAGGCGATAGAGGATCTCCCTGTCTTATTTATTCGTGCTTTTGATGTTTATAGATGTCATCCTCACTTCCACTTTCAGTCTTCTCAAATCCCACATTGTCAAATACCATTATATCTGTCTGCTGTGTATTGTCTTTTTGTCTAGCTTCCTTGTCTTTTGCCCATTCTCGTTCATCCACTCTCAAAGTTAGCAGAACAGCAATTCCACCAATGACGTAAATCAACGCTGATAACCCGAAAATCTTCTGCCATTGTTCACGCGTATTCTAAAACAACAAAATATTGAATTAAAAGTGGTTTAACTATTCCTCGTGTGCTACCAACGGGTCTGAGCGTCTACAGACAGTTATATATGCGAATGTACTGACTTGGTGTGTAGACACAATTTTATCGAAATATATGTTATCCACGACGCGTTCGATGCTTTCACTGCCATATATCATTCAGTTTAGTAATTACATACATTTCGCTCATAGGATTGACATATTATCCCATAATCACTGACGTCATCATCAATAATGATTCCTGATCGAAATATACAAGAGTATTTACCTCCTCTGCTGTTGCTGCGCCGACAACCAAAGGTGAGAGCGATCCAGCAATACTACCAGCTGTGTTAGCAATACCGAATAAAATACCACCGAATTTAGGTGCAATCTCAACGTGGTTAACTTTAAAACCAGGTGTGTTACAACCACTAAAACCAGAAGATATTGTGATGAACAAGACTGCCAGCCCACGGTTACAGCCCATCTGTCCACCCATCATTAAGAAAACAGCCGGCAAAAACATACCTGAAAAAACACGTTAAGTGTATATTATAAATTATTCATTATAATAAAAAAACATAATCCTCCACAAGATCGTTTATCATTTGTTAATATCTGAATCTTAGATACAGATATCTGATTGATTGAATCCTATAATGCATATATACAAGATAACCCAGGTTTCACCTCCGAAACTGAAAGAACCAATCAGAACACAGACAAAACGCTCTATAACTTGCACATCCCTTGGTATATCTCAGTCACTACCACTATTGATGTTCGCATTTTGTACTTCTGTGCGTACAATTAAATATTCGATCATCGATTGTTTATATCCAACCAAATAGACCATTTTCCGTTCACTGCGAGAATCACGCGTTATGCGTGAAATCGAACGTAAAAACGGGACAAACAAAGGTCATAGCGTCGTAGTCGCGTCAAACATCGCGTGGGATTCGACAAACGCGAAAGTATTTCGGGGACATTTCCATGCTTAATAATGTGCTGTCCACATTTGATGATAGGCAATTTCGATATTCGGAAGCAATATTCCTCTGTCGAAGATCAGCCGGTCAATGTAAGCTACGAAATAAAGAAATTCTAGTTCCAAATCAAATCGTTCGATTTTTGCGGCAGACGTTCGACGCGCGTCTTTCATGCATCTCGCGAGATCTCGCAATTGTACGGAAAATCACCTATTGGCTATAACTATAAGAATTAAACTATTTGTTTTTACTAGTATTAATATGTATTGGAACAAAAAGTGCATCGTCGGATTTGCACCATGTCAATGGAAATACATTAGGATCGTTGGCGATTGCGTTTGTTCATATAATCGCAAATGTAAATGTGACAGCATGATATAACTAAACTATTTTGTGGTGTGGATCTTATTATCACTGTTAAATACCCTAGTGTGGCGTGTATAGGCCGTGCACTGTAAAACTCGTATGTTTGCATTTCTGCTGTGACAACGTTGTTCTATTAATAGGGGTACATACATGTATATTTAATAACAGCAGAAAACAACTATTTTATCGCTATTGTATCTTCTGATGCGATCAGCTGGTTCTTGCCAACCATTCACTGCGCGCGCAAAGCGTAAACAAAAACAACGGCATATAATTCCTCAATGCGATTAATATTAATAGATACGCATATATCTATCATTACCCAATGACGTCAGTACTCTTCTCACTTGGATTGTTGACATAATGTATCTCTGTCTGGTATAGTCCGCTAACCAAGCGTAAAATACTTTAAACGTCCATATAGCAAGTGATGATAAAGAAGACATGAAACCGTTCTATGTGTGAAAGAATATAAATTTCTGTATTTATAACTACAAGTTTATGTAACGAAAAGGTGACATGTTTTTTACTCCCGTGTGCTTCGCACACAAGGGGAGTCTTTGCAGTTACCATGTGTGTGTGTGTGTGGGGGGGGGGGGGTATGTGTGTGTCTGTCTGTGTGTCTGTCCGTTCCACTGATATCTCAAGAACAGTATTTTGGTTTTGTAATGAAACTTAATTGGTGTATAGATGCTCTTGTCTAATGCGCAGATTTGATTAGGTTTTGGTTGAAATCCATACATATTAATTACCTGATTTGCATGATAATTAGCTAATTTTTAGCAGTTCCTTGACTGTTCTACTGATATATAAAGAGCCATTCATTAGATTTTGATAAACTTGGTATAAATATATATATGCTCTGGACCAATGCACAGATGTTAACCTAATTTGCATAATGATTAGTAAATTTTTGGCTTTTCCACTGATATCTCAGGTACTAATCATCACATTTCAATGAAACTTACATAGATACATAGGACGATGAACAGACAGATATGTGAAATATTAATTACCTAATTTGCATTATTAATCAATGTTCAGCTTTTGATTTCAAGGACTATTACTTCAATACTTTTCAATGAAACTTTGTACATAGATGCTTTAGAACAATTCAAAGACCTGATTAGTTTCAGGTTAAAATCAGTGCCTATTAATTACCTAATTTGGATAATTAGCAAATTATCAGCTTTTACACTGATATCACATGTACTAATTATTTCATTTCAATGAAACTTGGTACATTGATGCTCCAGAACAATGCACAGACCCACTCAGTTTCGTGTTAAAATCAGATCATATTAATTACCTATTTTGTATAATAAATCATAATCTTGGTTCTAGTCACATTTCAATGAAACTTTGTACATAGATGGACTGTGGCAGTACTTATCTTAATTCAACGAATCTTGGTACATATGTACTCTAACACAATATGATGATCAAATTAGTTTTAGGTTTATATACATCTATAATAATTACCTAATTTGCATAATAATTTACTTTTCAGCTTTCCACTAATTTAGTTAGGATTACCCATCACATTATAATTAAATTTTGTACATGTCCGTTCTGAAACTATATACAGACCTAAACATATGCATAATAATTGCTTAATTTGTATAATAATTCATTTGGTTCATTGAGGTAATCCACAGACATGATTAGTTTAATGTTGATAAACAAGCATATCTATTATTATCCCATTTCTGATATCTAAAAAATTCAGATTTAAATTGAATTCATCACAGAGGTGCTCTGGAACTTATTAGACTAAAACCTATGGATGAAAAATCAAAATATTTCTGTATGTATTATAAATGTTATGCATCTTAAATAGCAGACAAAAATTATTTGCCAAACTTCTTGTTTGAAAATCAAATCTTAAATTTTGAATTGATTTTAATGTGTCTCCAATACTCCCATCACACGGGAGTTCTTTCTAAGCTTTATTTGATTAATTACACTGCTTGTCGTAATGTTACTGAACTGGGTACACCAAGTGTGGCAAGAGCGTACACACCAGAATCCAAACCTACCGCTCCCAGGTTGAAGCCAAGTATTTGATCCATGTATTGCGGAAGACTTGTCAGTAGAGTATAGCTACCCCAGCTGCTGCAAAAGTGACCAATTGTGAGGCCCCACACTTGTGGTGATTTGAATATGGAGAGCCATGGAACTCGCCAACCCTGAAAGAATGCAAAGTAATATCATGATTTATATTTCAGTCAGTTTGACAGTGGTTGCCATGACATATACTGATAAATG